AGGAATGTGGCTTGTGTCAGCAATGGCTCTCCCTCTCAAAGAGGTCTGATGTGAACTCAGCCCTCCTTGGGTTGATCCTAATGCTGGGCAACAGCTACAGGGCAAGTCAGCTCTTTCTGAGGTTGATAAGAAACAAGACTGTGATCTAGTGGTGCACATATCATGCAGAAGTCCCTTCCATGGCAGTTTACTGCAGAGAAGATCAAGGTGACCAACAAGGGCTTTGGCCTTGGTGCAGAATTCAGCTTGGTTATTGGAAGGAAAGGCTCAGTGTATGATCCCAGTTAGATTGTTGAGGGTGACCTGGCCACCATCACTTTCTTCATTGTTGCTGCCATGGCTATTGAATGGCTTGTTGCCAGGTGGTGCCTTGTGTCTGTGCACCTTGAGCTGGGCTAGAATGCCATCATAGCCATTGGAATGGTACTTGGCCAAAAACTTGACCCAGTGGGCTTGCTGTTTGTCATCCTTCTCTGTGCCATCAATGTCAGATACAGAACACAGGGAATTTCAACAAGCACCAAAAATTAACTGTACAGCCACTTTGATGTAGTTGATGGCCACAGCACCAAGGAGAAATCTCTTGTGGGCTCTGGTGAGGTACCACACAGTCATTTGCAGTTCTTGTTCCAGTTTGGCAATTCTCTTAGCGTAGTCAGCAAGTTGCTGTTCCATCCTGGCCATCATGGTGAAGGAGGGTGGAGATGAAGGATTTTCTTGGGGAGCTGGAAAAAAGCTTTTGTATTTTTTTTGTTTCGTTTGTGTTTTCAAACGACAGCCCGTAAATCGTAACGCTGGAGCTTTGGGCGTGGATGGGACGTTGGTTGAAGGAGGTGGGAAGGAAGAGAAAGAAGAGGAATTAGGAGCGCGAGGGACGGTAGCCAGGACGAGGCGCGTTCTTTCGCGCGCCCGCTCGGCCGACCTTGGCGGGATGAAGGTGGTGCGGGGACAGGAACGAGGTCGCGCTGTCCTCCTCCTCTTCGGCCTTGGGCCGCAGCAGACCCCTCACCGCGTTGATGTCACCCGACAGCGCCGCCTTGCCCACCTCCAAGGCCTACATTCACAACCAGGCGAGCCAGTGGTGAGTGTATGACATAAATAACAAATATAAATAAATATTGTAAAAACCAGTAAAATGGAATTAAATAAATAAGGAAAAGAGGAAACGTACGAGCTTGTGGAAGTAGACGAGGGCAATGAGAAGGACGGCCAAAATGAAGGAGAAGATGGGCGTGCTCGTGAGGTCGTGACGCAGGGGATCGTGCATGGTCGCGGTGAAGTTGAGCTTCAGGTGCGTCGCCGAATCGAGATCCACCGACACCTGAACACCACCACCCACGGCCGTCAACAACCAAACTAGCATTCAACGCTTCATCCTCGTTCTTCGTTCTTCTTCGCCGTCTTCGTTCTTTTTCTGGTGGAGGCAAGCGCGTACCTCTTGGGGAGCGTGCGAGTAGGAGCGAGACGAGAGGCTGGACGAAAGGCGAACGCGGTACTTGGCGTCGCGGTTCAGGGGCCCGGCGTTGAAGAAGGTCGACGGGCCAAGGCCCACGCTCTTCACCACCTCCGACTTGCCGTCCTCGAACACCTCGACCTTGAGAGTGGAGAGCACGTGCGGCTCGGCGATCACCTCGCCGGTCAGGTCGGTCTTGGGCAGACGACGGAACACCAGGAAGTCCTGGTTCTGCACGTCCGTGAGGGCCTCGTTCTGTTCGCAGATCAACAACACAACGCAACGCAACAATGTTGACGATGAGGGTTAGTTGTGGACCCAGGGTGCTGACTAGGCAAGCGCGGTTTATGTGTACCGCAGCCAGTGTGACGAGGTAGCCATCGGAGGGCGCGGCACGCTCGATGCGCTGGTCAGCGGTGGCCTTGACGCGAACACGGTACTCCTTGCCCGGCTGGAGACCACGCAGGCGGAAGTTGCCCTCGGCGTCCGTTTGGGTCTGATCACCGGCAAGTTAGCAAGAGAAAGGAATGTAAATGTAAATGTAAATGTAAAATAAATAATAAATAATGTCGGGGCTGAAGCGCACCTCTTCGACCTCGCCGGTGGCGGAGACAGCCTCGACGGGCACGAATTTCTCGGCCTCGCCGTTGAGAGATCGCACCTTGCCGAAGCACGAGTAGGCCACGCGCTTGGCGCTGATGGTCACCTTCTCATCGAGTCCCTCCTTCACCTCCACGCTCTGCCAACACACACGCGCACGCACGCACACACGCACAGCATACACACACGACCGCCGCCAAACATGAGTACACGCGATAAGGAGGGTGTGTGGTTGGCGTAGGAATTCGAAGCAGGCTACGGTACCGTGGCGGAAGGCGTGAAGACGTATTCCTTGAGGAGCGGGCGCAGGTAGTAGCTGCCCGGGTGGAGGGCGGACACGGTGAAGACGCCCTGTTGGTTGGTGGGGTTGTTGCTGCGGTAGCCCTCGCCGGAGAGCGAGATGACCACGCCCGGCAGCGCGTTGCCGGCCTCGTCCTTGACCGTCACCGCCACGGTGCCCAGCTTCTGGGTCTCTGCAACACGCCACAGCACCCACCGAATACGGGTCAGATGGCGGTGTCGCGTCGTGTCGCGTCGTGTCGTGTCGCGTCGCGTCGCGTCGTGTGTGCGTACGGAACACGCCGGTCTCGGTCTGCTTGAAATAGTAGCCCTCGTGCGCGGCTTCCTGTTGGTCGATGCGTTGTGAATAAATATAAATAAATACCATACATTCAAGAGGGGGTAAAGAACGAAAGAGAAAACGGTTCGGGCGCGTACGATTTCGTAGGGGGTGTTGTCGGGCAGGGGTCCGATGGAGTAGTTGCCGCTGGCCGTGGTGGTGGACTCGGAGACGAGGCGCCTCTCGCCGTCCTCCCCGGTGGTGTACACGCTGATGCGGACGTTCGCGATCGCGGGTTCGACGCGACCCTTGACGTACGAGCCGGGGCGGGCCTGGAACGGCGCGAGGGGCGAAGGGCACTCGGGCTTGCTCCTACGCGACAATATAAATATAAATAAGTAATATAAATATAAATAAATACATTAAAGAATATTTTAAAAGATTAAAAATAAAAAGAGGCAGGGCGTACAGGGTGAAGGTGGTGGACGAAGGGTAGAACAGGAGGTCGGAGCCGGTGGAGGCCTTGGGCGTGAGAGTGAGCTTGTCGCCGGGCGCGACCCAGAGGGCAAAGCCGTAGTGGTGCTTTCCACCCTCGACGCTGCGCTGTTCCTCGCTAGTGCTGACGTAGTACTCCTCGTGCGCGGCGTCCTTGCGACCGGCCTTCTGCGAGTGGTCGACCCTGAACACAACACACACACACACGGTCACGACGAAGAGTCAGCCCGACGCTGTCGTCGCCCATGCAAGCAAGTTGATAAAAACGTACGCGACGTGGATGGTGATGTTGGAGGCGGGCTCGGCGGTGAGCACGGAGGCGTTGAGCAGGTAGTGGGTGGCCTGCAGATCAAGCAGACGCGGGTTGGCCGTGTCGTACTTGTACGTGTCCCTCTCGAACTTGTAGCACGAGACCGGAGTGAGCGTGTACACGCCGGGCTTGCTGCGCATTGCCACACACACACACACACGAAATTGGCGTGAGTCAAATTCTTGCGCCGCCAGTCAGACGCGAGGGCTGGACGCGTACTTGAGGCAGAAGCGGTTGGTGCCCTTGGTCAGCTCGAAGGTCTGACGCTCCTTGGGCGCCGAGTCCAACGAGGCAACGAGCTTGACGTCGTGCGACACGACCGAGCTCAGCTGGTAACTGTACAGCACCATCGCCAACCAGTCAGAAGAATGGTGAGTAGGCTTAAGATCCGGGGGGGGGAAGAAGTCCAAGGTGTGTGTACCCTTCGTGGACAAACTCGGGCGCCTGGATGTGGGACTTGCCGGTCTCGGCTTCGGCCTTGACGTCCAGCTTGTGGGTGGTCTGCTTCCAGCACCACGACTCGTGCTTGATCTGCACCTCGTACCTGCAATCACCGCAATTTACACAAGACTTAGACAAGTCATGACACGCACGACACACGACACGCACGACACAGGAGGGTTGAAGGGAGTGGTACTGGCCGGGAAGTACGTCGCGGATGGCGTAGGTGGCCTCCTGCTTCTCGCCGGGGCTCAGGCTGGCGGTCATGTGCGACTCGATGTCGGTCCCGGTGAGGGTGATCGAAATGGAGGGATCGCACGGGGCCTCCAGGCAGCGCACCACGCCCTGCACTGTCACCTGCACGGTCGCATCGAGAGGAAACGCGCAAGTGAGCCGTCGGTACTGTGTGTGTGTGTGCGCGCGCGCGCGGGCTTCATGAGCTTACCAGCGCTTGGCCGAAGTTGACATCGAGAACGGGGCTCTTGTTGAGGGTGACCTCGCGCTTGGCGGGCACGAAGAGAAGACCGGCGCGCTCCTCGGCGGCCGAGATGACGGGGGTGACGCGGTACCGGCCGGGCACCACCTCGAAGCAGAACGCACCGGTGGGATCCGTCGAGCGACGCTCCTGCGCACGCAGGCAGGCAGGCACAGAAAATGTGAGGAATTGTCGCATGAATCAGCCAAACATGCCAGACATTCCAGTACCTCGCTACCAGAGACGGCATCGACCAGGAGCACGTCGCGGTGGCCGGGCTTCTGCTTCTCGTCGGCGCGGCCCGACGAGAGGTTCACGCGGCCGCACAGGTGGTAGGAGGCGGCCTTGATCTGCGGGACCTGCGCCTTGGACGGCGACAGCTGAACGCTCTTCAGGGCGTCGAAGAAGACGTGGTCCTTGACCACCTCCACGGCGTAGCTGCCCACGCGCACCTTCTCGACACGGTAGTGTCTGTGTTTGTAGCGCACCGACCAATTAATACTATTGTCAGCGCTTGCCGCACGCTGCGCGCGGTGCGCGGGTTCAATGGGGGAATACGAACCCGTCAGCGTCGGTGGTGGCCTTCTCGACGCCGTCGAACAGCACGGTGGCACCGGAGATGCCCGCGCCGTCGACGTCAACCACGCGGCCCTCCACGGAGAAGCCCGCCACGCGGAACGGCTCGCTCACCTCGGCGTTCGCTGTTTTTCGATTCCGGGAGGGTAAAATGTATGTGAGTATGTTGTGTGCAGTGTGGTGGTGGTGGTGATGATGATGTACCATGCGAGACGGTGACGTCGACGCGCGAGGGAAGGAGGTCGTAGTTGGTGTTGGAGGAGCGGTAGTGCGGCACGAGGGTGTACTGGCCGCACGGGACGCCCTTGATGACGAACTTGCCGGCCGCATCGGAGCGCGCACCGCACACGGCCTTCAGGCCCTTCTCCTCGGGAGCACCTAATATTGATTAGATGGTTAGCATTCCTCTCTGATAAATAAATAAACAGAATATGAAAGAAGTATATTAGGAGCACTGCTTGGGCAGTGTACCAGAAACGCCATCGGTGGAGCAGCTGAGGGGCAGATCCTTGAGATCGGACGCCGAGTAGAGAATGAAGTCGACGCCGGGCACGGCGGCGTTTTCATCGACGGACTGGACGGAGCCGGAGACCTCGAAGCCGCCGACCAGCAGCTCGTCCTTCACCCGCACGTTGTCCCACTCGAAGCTCACCTCCGTGCGATCCTGCACAACAAAGAAAAGTTGTGTTTTCGTGAGCAACGGCGTAGCGTGATGATGATCGTGTTTGGTGTGCACAGTGGCGTCGGTGGCGCGTACCTTGACGAAGGTCCACGAGGGGTGCGAAGCGACGATCTCGTAGGTGCCGGGGAACACGTTGCTGAAGTGGAAGGCGCCGTCCTGACCGGTGGTCGTGGTCTGGTCGGCGACCTTGGCGTTGGCCTTGTTCTTGAGCGTGATCACCACGCCGGCGGGTCCCTTCTGGCCCTCCTCCGCGCTGGACTGGCCCAGACTGCGGACCTGCGGGTGGTGTGGCCGGACAAGATGGGCGTGGTGAAAAAATAGAACAAGTGTCATGAGATTTGACGTGGGGGGCGTACGGTGCCCGAAAGAACGAAACCAGTGACGATGAAGTTGTAATCGCGCGACGAGTCGCATCGGCCTTCGTCAATCAGGACAGAGCTCGGCTCTGCAGGAGAGCAGGGTGCCGAATTGAGTGAAAAACACTAAGTAAAGATTGAAAAAGAGCGTGGAGATGGAAATTACCGAAATTCCAGCCCTCGGGGCCGTGGACTCGCATGTTGAAGGAACCCTTGTCGTAGATGGGAAGGAAGTAGTAGCCATTGGGCGCACACTCAGCTCGCTCCTTGACCAGCTCGCCGTCAGCACTCACCAATTCAACGTGAATTGTCTCGTAAGGCAGCTTGGACTTACTACAGCGCCATGGTCATTGAGATCTCAAATTAATCGGCAGATTTTGATGTAAAAATGAAGGCTAATCGCAGGGTAGAGAAAGAAGACAAATGACACTGGCCATTGCAAGTGAGGAGCGCACCTTTGCAGCTCCTTGGAGAGACGCACAAAGCCGCCGCAACCGGCGATGTCATCGGAAGATGCGGAGGCGAAAGCCAGGAGGAGCAGAAAAGCGGCAGCCGCCAGAAGAGGCGCAACGAATCGTCGCTCCATCTTCGTGAATGATATATCGAACTCCCGGGGGAAAATGGAGACGAGATGCGGCACCTTGCACACGCGCACAATCGATCTAATCTGCTGCACGGCGCCAAATGAATTTTAAAATCATTTAAATTTAAGGAATTCGTGGTATGAATGATTGTCGGACAATAACCGGGAGCGACAAAGGTGGATTTTAGAGGGCAGCAAAACACGGAAACAGCCTTTTTTCGCTTTTCCTCTCTTCTGGATCGCCTCTCCTCCGTGCCGTCCCTCCATCGCCATGCCTAAGAAAGAGAATAAGGGTGTGAACAAGAACACCGTCCTCGCCCGGGAGTACACCATCAACCTGCACAAGCGCACGCATGGCCTGTACGTCCCTCTTTCTTAGATTTTTGAAGCCGAATTATCGTCAAATGCCCAATTATGCCGCTGCCTGATTGAAGCATCTTCTGATCTGGTGTATTGCGTTTGCGGTTACAGTCAGTTCAAGAAGCGCGCTCCCCGTGCCATGAAGGAGATCAAGGCCTTCGCCCGCAAGGCCATGGGCACCTCCGATGTCCGCCTCGACGTCAAGCTCAACCAGTTCGTGTGGTCGCAGGGTATCAGGAACGTCCCCTACCGCGTCCGCGTGCGCCTCTCCCGCAAGAGGAACGAGGATGAGGAGGCCAGCGAGAAGATGTACACGCTCGTCTCTTATGTGCCCTGCAAGGACTTCAAGGGTACCGTCACCCAGGTCGTGGAGGATGTGTAAACGCTGATTGATCTCGAACATAAAATGGAGACCAAGTAGGCCGGCAGGCACCTTCTTTCTATGATGTGTACATTCTCTCTCCCTCCCATCCTCGGACCGTTCGCCGTAGTTGTAACAATCAAGAAGATGCATGTGAAAGCAAGTGAAAGCTCGTTTCGCTGAAGTTGTCCTCCACGTCGTGGGAGCGGCCCGCACACGAAACTACAAACATGATGGATCGAGTGTGGCTGGTGTGGAGCTGGCTGCGGGTGGCGTGCACCATACTCTTCCACAAGCTCGTCATCATCGTCGCAGGGTGCCACTTGAATGCCCACCTGCCTCCGAGCTTTCGCCTCTCGTGGCGTCGCATGCTCGTGCACGACCTCTCCAAGTTCCACCCCGCCGAGATCTTTCCCTACGCCTGCCACTACTACGGCACCAACGCTGGCAAGAGGCGCGACCAAGACCCCGACTTCGACCTCGCCTTCGCACACCACACCGCCCACAACGACCATCACCCCGAGTTCTTTGAGACCAAGTGCGGCACCTTCCCTCTTCGCCTTCAGACTGACTGTCGCGTGCGGGTTGTATGACGTGCAACGCTCTTATTGGCACAGAAGTGGAGAGGTTGGACGAATGAACGACGCGGCCCTGGTGGAGATGGTGGCCGACCTGTTCGCTGCGAACCAGGCCTATCAGGGCAGTTGGCCACGACCAGGCGAGTGGGCGTGGTTGCAGAGGAACTGGCCAACGCTGCACGTCCACCCCGTGGACAAGGCGCTGCTGGGCGCCATCCTCAGCGTACTCGGCTTCGAGGCCGACATTCCCAGCTTCGACTGGAACGACGCCGAGCTGGCCATCAGCGGAGAGCAAGACGATGACGCCACCGCCGTCAAGAAGTTTAGAGAGTTGCGCGAGGCCTACAACAAGAAGCAACGTGAGCACACCAAGAAGAGCCAGTAACAACGTGGTCTGGAGAGGAAGGGCGCAGAGTTTCAAAAAATAGTTGTTTCATTGTCAACTTGTTGTGAGCCACTTTACATGCTGGTGAGAGAAGAGAGCCGCTACTCGACAAGAGCGCGGTGTAGAAGAAGATGAAAAGAGTAAGACGAAGATGAAGAGGCAAGGCTTCTAACCGCTGCAGCTCTCGCAGCCGGGGTAGCAGACCTCGCCGTCGTACTCAGCAGTGACCTGCGCGGGCGACTGGGGCATCGCCAGAGGCTTCCGCATCATCACCTCCACATCGACCGACGACGACTGCTTGGCGGGCGACCGCAGCGGCGACTGCTTGACGGGCGACGGCGCGGCAGCCTTGTTGGGCGCGGGCACGGTGGCGGCCGCCTCCTGATCGACGGTGAACTGGATCGCGTTGGCGGCGGGCCGGGTGCGAAGGTAGTACATGCCGGTCTTGAGGCCCTTGCGCCAGGCGTAGAAGTGCATCGAGGTGAGCTTAGCGAACGAGGGCTCGCCCATGTAGACGTTGAGCGACTGGCTCTGGTCGATGTAGGCCGAGCGATCGGCGGCCATGTCGATGATGACGCGCTGCGGGAGCTCCCACACGGTCTTGTACAGCTTCTTGATGTCGTCGGGGATCTCCTCGATGCGCTGTACCGAGCCGTTGTGCGAGACGAGCTTGTTCTTGAGCGCAGGCGACCAGAGGCCGCGCTGCTGCAGCTCGCGCAGAAGGTGCTCGTTGACGACGGTGAAGTCGCCGGCGAGGATGCGGCGGGTGTAGATGTTGGTCGTGTAGGGCTCAAAGCACTCGTTGTTGCCCAGGATCTGCGAGGTCGAGGCCGTGGGCATGGGCGCCACGAGGAGCGAGTTGCGCAGACCGTGCTGGGCGATGTTGGCGCGGAGCGTGGCCCAGTCCCACCTGTCCGACGGCACGACGCCCCAGAGGTCGGGCTGGAGCTTGCCCTTGGACGCGGGCGAGCCCTCGTAGGTCTGGTAGGTGCCCTCAACCTGCGCGAGCTCGTTCGAGGCGACCAGGGCGGCGTAGTAGATGGTCTCGAAGATGGCGCGGTTGAGCTCGCGGGCCTCGTCGCTCTCCCACGGGTGGCGCATGATCATGAAGACGTCGGCCAGGCCCTGCACTCCGATGCCGATGGGCCTGTGGCGCATGTTCGAGTTGCGGGCCTCGGGCACGGGGTAGTAGTTGATGTCGATCACCTTGTTGAGGTTCTTGGTGACCACCTTCACGACGTCGTGCAGCTTCTTGTGGTCGAACTCGCCGTTGGTGATGAACTTGGGCAGCGCGAGCGAGGCCAGGTTGCACACGGCCACCTCGTCGGGCGACGTGTACTGGACGACCTCCGTGCACAGGTTCGACGACTGGATGGTGCCGAGGTGCTGCTGGTTGGACTTGCCGTTGCAGGCGTCCTTGTACAGCATGTAGGGCGTGCCGGTCTCGATCTGCGACTCAAGGATAGCGAACCACAGTTCCTGGGCCTTGACCACGCGGCGCGCGCGGCCCTCCTGCTCGTAGCGCTCGTACTTCTCCTCGAACTCCTTGCCCCACGAGTCAAACAGGCCGGGGGCCTCGTTGGGGCAAAAGAGCGACCAGTCGCCGCCCGTCTCCACGCGCTTCATGAAGAGGTCGGGAATCCACAGGCCGTAGAAGAGATCGCGGGCGCGGTTCTCCTCCTTGCCGTGGTTCTTCTTCAGGTCGAGGAAGTCAAAGATGTCCGCGTGCCAGGGCTCGAGGTAGATGGCGAAAGCACCCTTGCGCTTACCACCTCCTGCGCAAAGCAAAAGTGTGGTGGTCACAGCGTGAGACCCACTGCACCAAGAGCGATGGACACCGGACCAGTGTCAAGGAGTTCGAGAAGAAGTGATACCTTGGTCGACGTAGCGGGCAGTGTCGTTGTAGACGCGGAGCATGGGGATGAGACCGTTGGAGGTGCCGTTGGTGCCGCGGATGTACGAGTTGGAGGCGCGGATGCGGTGCGCGGCGAGGCCGATGCCGCCGGCCGACTTGGAGATGAGGGCACACTGCTTGAGGGTGTCGTAGATGCCCTCGATCGAGTCCTCCTTCATGGTGAGGAGGAAGCACGACGACAGCTGCGGGCGCGGGGTGCCGGCGTTGAAGAGCGTCGGGGTGGCGTGGGTGAAGAGCTGCTGTGACAAGAGGTCGTAGGTCTCGATCACGGCGGGGATGTTGTCCTTGTGCAGGCCGACGGCCACGCGCATGAGCATGTGCTGGGGTCGCTCTACGATCTTGCCGTCGACCCTGAAGAGGTACGAGCGCTCGAGGGTCTTGAAGCCAAAGTAGGTGTAGTTGAAGTCGCGCTCGTACTTGATCGCGGCCTCGAGGGCTTCGGTGTTGTTGGCGATCACCTCGAAGACATCGTCAGCGATGAGAGCCGAATTGAGGCCGGTCTTACTGTTGACGTAGGTGTGAAGTGTGCGGGCCGTCTCGAGGAGAGATTCCGAAGTATCCTTCTGAAGATTCGAGATGGCGATGCGGGCCGCGAGGACGTTGTAGCCGGGGTTGAGCGAGCCCATGTAGGCGGCGGTCTCGGCGGCGAGGTGGTCCAGCTGGGCCGTGTGTACGCCGTTGTAGACGCCCTGAACGACCTTCTGGGTCACCAGGACCGGATCGACGTCGCTGGCAAGAGCCGGCTCCAGCTGGCACAAGACCTGAAGCCTTCGTGTGATCTTATCAAATGAAACCTGTAGTGGAAGCGCCCCATTCGATTAATTGAAGGAACTAAGGCAAGAAGAGCAGAGTATGGGATTGATCACGTACCCGCTCGGGGTTGCCATCTCGCTTTATGACGTACATGGTCTGATGTGTTGTATGTGTAGTGTATTATTAAAGTCCCGATTACCACCGCGAACGTTTCGTTGATGTTCAGCTGAGGCGCGTTCGGTTCGAAGGGGTTGGTGTGGTTATGAACGTGTGTCGGTCTGTCTATCGCGAGTGGCCCCTTCCCTTCCCGCCTTCTTCTGCTTCCCGCCTCTTCGCTCGGCCTTCAACGGTTCTCGCAACGGCCTTTGCAACTACTGGTACTCCCGCCAAGAACGCCAACTGCTGTTGTTCGTAACGGTCACCCGACAAAAGTAAAAACAACGCCCAACCGGTTTTCCCGCTTTTATGGTCGGCCCAAAATTTTCTTGGAACAAAACTGCCTGTATTCTTTCCATTCTTTCAATTGAACCTAAAATCACTTTTCGGCCTTTTATTACACGCCTTATTCTGCGCCACAAACAACGTGTGGTCGTAGCGAGAGAGCATGGAGCAGCAGGAGAAGGACCGCAGCGGGGAGCGTGCCAGTTTCGGCCCGCCGCTGGCAGCTCCCCGGTTCTACCAGCAGGAGTCGGAGAAGCTCGCGGAGCAGAGGAGGACCCGCGAGGAGCAGAGTGCGACTGCGCGCCTGCTCACTCCCAAAAACGCTACGGGTCGGCGTGGCGTTCTGCCGGCGGCGCCCCGCGACCCGCTGCGCCTGGCGCAGAGCATCGTCGCCGCCACCCGCCAGTTCGCCACACTGCCACCGCCCGTCGGGGTACCCCTTGCCCCATTCATCTTTTTAGATTTTTTATTTCTTCTATATTCTGTGTTTAGATGTTACATATTTAAATATTAAAACAAACCCAGGAGCGGCGCTCGATTGTCCGCTGGGTAGCGACGCACCGCGACATCGTTGAGGCTGTCGCGGGGTCAATCGAGCGCGGAGCGGCCTCGTTCGACGGCTCGTCGCGACCCAAGACGGACGAGGTGGCCCTCGTGCGCGTGTTCGAATGGCTCTTTGTCGACGAGGGTCCCCACGCGTGCCTCGCATTCCTGGATGACAAGAAGCCCGGTTGTGGTGGTGAAGCCGCCATTGACGATGGTGGCGTGAGCGACGCCGACAAGAGGGAGGCATTCGCGCGGCTGAACCAGGCGGTGGCGTCCGTCGCGGTCAAGCGGCTGCGCGAGTGCCGGCTCGCGATCCCCGAGCTGCTCGCTCGGATGTGGACCAGAGTGTGGCAAGCCGCAGCAGCCGCGAGTGGTGGTGACGATGGTGCCGAGCTGGCGGCGGTCGGCCTGCTCTCGGCCATCGGCCGTGTCTATGAGCGCCTGGCCGAGCACCGTTATCGCGACTTCTTCAGCCGTCGCCTCGGTGCGAGCCCGCGTCCATGTGCAGCTCCTCATGATTCTCACTCGACATGTGTCGTGTGTCGTGTGCTGCGTTTTGTGTGTGCCGTGTGTGTGTGTGTGTGTGTGTGTGTGTGTGGTGTGTGTGTGTGTGTGTGTGTCGTGCGTGTCGCGTGACAGAGCCGATCGATGACGAGCCCTTTATACGCTTCGTTGCGGACAACAAGAGCGTCGCGATCGTGGCAGGTAAGCTGGAGCCTTATGGGAATGGTGACGGTGATCCATGAGACTCATATGATCTGCGTTTTCCGTTCCGGATGCGCAGCCGGCCTCGAGCTCATCAGGGACGCCATGTACTACCGGTTTGGCCAAATCTTTGGCCAGCGGGTGCGTCCGCTCTCGGGCTTTTCTTGCCGCGGTCATATCTGACGCGGCACTAACACCCACGCACCCACGCACACCGCACACACCGCACATACGACACACACCGCACGGCTTCGTGTCGCACCAGACCTGGACCCATCTGATGGTCAACACAGTCATCCACCCCGACCACTACATCCGCCGGTGGGCCTACTCGTCCTTGGACTTCCGCTACTGCCACGACGACCTGCGAGTCGAGATCTGCCAGGTTTGCGTCACGTGTGTGTTGTGTGTTGTGTTGTGTGTGTGTGCTCGGTCGTGCGTGTGCGGTGTGCGGTGTGCGGTGTGCGGTGTGCGGTGTGCGGTGTGCGGTGTGCGGTGTGCGTGTGTGTGTGTGTGTGTGTTTGACACACGGCTCGAATGGTGTCTAATGCGGTGCAACGACAGCTCAGAATGAGCCGGCTTCGCCAGGAAGAGGACCCAACCGTCAAGGCGCGCCTCCTCAAGTCCCTTACCAGGCAGTCCGGCTCCGACATGAGCCGGGTCCTGCTGGAACCCCCATTCACCGAAATGCAGGTGTGGTCTGTCGTGTGTGTCGTGTCATGCGTGTGTCGTGTGTGCGTGGCATTAATTCGTTGCGGCGTTTACTGTGGCTGTCGGCACAGAATTCGAATGGCAAGGTGGCACGTGCGGCGACAGCTCTGCTTAGCTGGATGGTCTTCGCTGGCGGCGTGAGTCTAGACCGGGAGCAAGTGGCCAGGTACCCAGCGGTCTAACATTCCACACGCTCCACGTGTCGCTGGTCTCATTTGATTCCACCGCACGCACACACGAACACATCGCACACGCGCACCGCACACACATACACCACACACAGAGCCATCGAGATCGTCCACCCGGGCCTGCTCCCGCAGGTGCGTCGGGAGGGCAGCCTGACGGCCCAATTGCTCTGTTTCCTGGCCAACAACAGGCCGGGCTTCTCGACCAGCGCCGACGCGGCCCACTTACCGCATGACCTCCGCGAACTCTTCGCGGCCACGACCGCTGGCACTCCTCTCCCCTTCCGCCCACTCGACAAGCCCGTCCGACCCAACTCACTAACCTGTCATGTCGTTGGCTGTGTGTCGTGTTGTGTGTTGCATGTTGCATGATCAGGTTTCGCCAAGTATAGGGAACGCGCGTTGGGCCTGGTGTCGCAGATGTGCGTCTTGGAGCGCAACGCGACCAAGCTGCTGGTGGCCATCCACGACTGGCTGCAGGCCGACGGAACGGACAAGTGGCATCGGTGCGCGCCCCCCCCCCCGCTCCAGCCCAACAATGTCGCGAACGAACGTTCGGCCGAAATGAAGCTCAAGCTCGGTTAAATCCGCCCGGGGTCGATCCAGGGCGAGCGGCCTTGTCGCGCTGAGCGCTGTCGTCAGGTCAAGACACAAGGGGCGGCCTGATGGCCAGCAGCCTCCAGTCGACCCGCTGACGGAAGATGAGGAAGAAGAGCAAGGCGACAACCTTCACGACCATAGAAACGATGATGGCGAAGACGACGATGACGACGACAACGGCGAGCGCCGGCACGATGTTGCTCCTCCGCACGATGATGCGGGTGAAGAGGGAGACGACGACGATGACGACGACGACGACGACGACATGGAGCACCAGGCAGAGCACATCAAGCAGGCCCTGGCCTACACGCCCTACGTCATCGCCTGCCTCCAAGACCCCGAGGTAAGCCGACCCCGATCAACAGCTGTTTGCATTTGAGCTCACCCACTTTGGTGCGTGCGGTCGTGTGTGTGCGGTCGTGTGTGCGAAGCCCTTGGTGCGTTACGGAGCGTGCGAGGCGATGCGGTGGATGTGGAGGTGGAGCTCGCCCGGCCAGCGGCTGACGGCCTCCAACCTCCTGGTGGACCTCGCCGCCGCCGGCACCGATCAAGGTGCACCATTCGTGCAACGCAAGGCCTTTGCCACCCTCCAGGGGCTGCTCGACGACGCCCCGTACGACGGCGAAGAGGACATTATCTTCGCCTCGTGCGTCGCCCGACTCCAGCGCCACGACGGCCCCGACCACTCGCCCCTCCACCTCGTCATGCAACTGGCCCGAGCCGGCGGCCTTCGTGACCCCAAAGGTCCGTATGTGTCATGTGTGCGGTGTGTGCGATGGTGTGTGTCTCGGGTCGTGTGTGCGGTGGACTGACGAATGAATGTGGGAGCAGAGCGAACGATGGAGCTGGCGGAGCTGATGATGCCCGTTCTGGTGGCGAAGATGCGACACGTGCAAGGCGTGGAGCTGGTGAGCTGCATGCTGGCCGCCATCGAGTACGTCCTGCCGCTCGGCGGGCGCTGTCCGCTGGCCCGCGAGGTGAGCCTGCTCGTGGGCCAGCGCTGGGCCGAGGTCTTCCCCCGCGCCAAGCACTTCCGGGTAAGTTGCGCTGCTCTTCCGTCGCTCGCGCCAGCCAACCAAAAAGGTAACTAACTTCGCGTTTCGATGAAACGCTGCCGCGGCGCGCAGCTCTCGAAGCCGGCCAAGAATTTCGAGCGCAGACACGCCCTGTTGGCCGACCTCTACGACGCGCTCGAGCCACAACCGTGAAGTGTACCAATGAAATCTCTTGCTTTTATTTTTTTGAATAGTCATCTTACCATATCTGGACACCAGTATGTTACAACATGGCACAATAGTTGCTTGTATGTAGGAGTTAGCTACGGCGAGGTGTCGGTCAGCGAGGCCAGGAGACACATGAACTGCACGTGGTGCGAGCAGTACAAGCTCCTGCCACACACCGCTACCGCTGCCGACCCTTGTGCCCCGCCGCACATGTTGCAGTTGCTGGCCAGCAGCATCTTCCGCAGCAGCTGCTTGGTGTTGGTCAGCCGCGCCATCGTGTGCCGCATGATCTTGACCCACGTCTCCACCTCGATCTCGCCCAGCAGCAGCGCCCCCTCGACCGCCGATGGTGGTGCATCGGGCACGGAGTCCAGATTGGCGCTGGCCCACTCCGCATGCCGGGCCAGCAGGCTGGCGAGGCCGTAGGTCTGGGCCGTGACCAGCAGCGCCCACGACCGCGGCTGCCTGAGGAGCACGGCCTCGCACTCGAGCCTGAGCGCGGCGGGCAGGTCGTACTTGTCCACGAAGTAGAGGACCGAGTGGACGGTGGCGGGGGCCATGGGCGGTGCGTTGGGGTAGAGGCGTGCCAGGACGAGGCCGAAGTGCGGGGCGTGCAGGGGGTGCTCGCGCAGGTGGACCACGCTGTGGGTCGACTCCCGCATGCCGTTGGTGAGCATAGTGCGGAACACGGGCGACCACAGGGACAGCAGTAGGCGGTGCACGTAGTAGGTGGTGGTGGTATTGGTGTTGTTGATGTTGGTGGTGGTTGTGGATTCGTCGGAGCTATGCACAATTACGGTGATATCGCCATGGAGTGGGTCCTGCAGCTGAGGGTGAGTGCAGGTTCTTAGGGCGGTGGCGGTCATGATGGTTTTTGGCTGGACTGCTTGTTCGTTGATGATGTTCATTGCTCAACCCGTACCCAGCCTTTATAGACCCTTGCGTCATGCCATGCTCACCTCTGCCCGCTCCACCAGACACTATCAAGTTACACTGCCAACTGACAGCTGACAGCTGTTTCCTTTTGGGATATTTTACCTTTTTTGTTGGCTGAAGGACTGGACAAATCTCAAACCTTTCACTTCCCACGTTCTCCTCCCTGTTGAGGAGTATAAGTAGAGTAGTGTCAATGGAGGAAAGGCATCTTCTCGGCCTTCGTGGCTAAGATCAAGTGTAGTATCTGTTCTTATCAGCTTAATCTCTGGTAGTGAGGCCATGTGCCTCACAACTCAAGATTAGACTTATTTCTTGTGGGCGCCCTGGCACCAAGTTTCCTTGCAGCTGTGCTGTTGAGGCGGTCCAGGGAGCAGTGATCAGCTTCACATTTGCACATCTCCGTGAAGTTCTTAAATTGGTCCACCCCCTCTCAAAAGAAAGACAAAGCTCTGCCCCATCTCCTGTTCTTAACTAAACGGCCAGCGTGAGAACTGGATGACTGGTTGCCTGGGGTCGTTGGTGTGAGCGCCTTAGTCGAGTGGCTACTTCGTCGTTCTGTAACAAAGTGGTATTGTCCCAGGGGTAACACCCCTGGATTCGTGGGTTCGATTCCCACCAAAACATCATCTGCACCGCTGACGCCGTCGCCCACACTTTTTACCAACCACCCAACACTCAACACGCGCGAGTGCGACTCGCCACGATACAGGGATGAACCGCGAAGCTTGCGAGCAGCGTGGGGCATCTTCGTCTTTGGCCTACGTGATCGACTACACAATCGAAAGAGTGCTGCTGGGTCACGTCGTTGGCGAGCCTTTAAGAATTGAATAACTTGAAAGGTCGTGACTTGCGTTGCTGTGCTGCCAATTACATGGGCGGGGGCAGGGTGGTGCCTTTCTTCTTGAGCGCACGCTGCTTCCTGTCGTGGTTGGCCAGGCGGCTCTTGTGACGATCCTTCAGCAGCTTCTGTCGGTCGCTCATGTCGTCGCCCGCCGGTCCGCCCCGTCCTCGTCCGCCTCGCCCTCTGCCGCGTCCACCACCGGCGCCGGCGCCTCGACCAGCTCCGCCGCCTCGCGAAGCCGATGATGATGGAGCTGCAGCTGGCGGCTGTTTCCCTCGTCCGACGCTACCGCGTCCACGTCCGGCTACAGGCGCTCGGCCCGGGGCGAGCCCAGGCCGACGTCGCTGCTGGGTGGAGCCGTCATCGTCATCGTCTTCGTTGTCGTCTCCGTTTTCGTTGTTGCCCTCGCCGGCGGCCTTGGCCGCGGAGGACTCGTCGTTGTCGTTGGCGTCGTCCGCGTCGCGCTGTCGCAGGGTCGGGCGGTTGGGGTTCGGCTGAATCGGGTCCAGACCCTCGCCATCGGCGTCACCGACGGCCTGGAAGGTGTCGTAGGAGTCGTCGTATTCGTCTTCGTACTCGTACTGCTCGTACGTGCGCCGCAGCTGCTTCACCTCGCTCTTTTGCGCCATCAGCTTGAGCGCGCCCACTTGTTTCCTGGACGTCACACGCACCGATCAAGTCAGGCCGACGCATCACACGCAATACTGTGTGCTGTGTGTGTGCGTGTGTGTGTGTGTGTGTGTGTGTGTGTGTGTCGGGCGTGTGCGGTGCGCCTGCGTACTTCTTGCCGTGCAGAACGCGGACGTTGCTCAAGTCTTCGTCGTCGAAGATGTTCCTTCGCTCGGGCTGGGCCGGCTGAGCAGGCTGCGCTGCTGCAGCCTGGGCCTGAGCGGGCCTGGCGGCCGTGGCGGCCGCGACGACGGGCTTGGCCGGGAGGGGCATGTTGCGCTTGAGCGACGTGAGGGCGGCCGGGAGCGCGTTGGTGAGGAGCGCATCTATCACCGCCTCGGCGCTGTCCTCGAAATAGTGGAGGCACGCCGCGATGAAGCCCTCGCCCAGCTCAGGGAACAGGTCACGCACCTGCGTGATCAGCGATGCTCGGCTCGCGTCCTGTTCATGCACGATCGCACCAGTGCGCGGGATGAGTTATGGGACTCGTGTCGTGTTGTGTGTGTGGAGAGCGCACCACTTCGAAGGCGGCCGAGGCTGCGGAGGAGGGCTGCGCGCTCGCCGCGGCCGGCGTCGCCACGGAGAGGCCGCAGAGGGACTGGATGATGGCCACCACCCAGTCAAAGCGAGTAGCGTCCCTGTGTGCGTGTGTGCGTGTGTGCGTGTGTGTCGTGTGTGTGTGTGTGTGTGTGTGTGTGTGTGTGTCGTGCGTGTGTCAGAGAGAGGGAGAGAGGGAGAGACGTGGGCTGGAGCCGAGGAAAAGGAGAGGGGGGACAGGTACAGTTTCGATCGAACGCTCTCGAGCGTCTCGAGAAGCGGGAAGTTGAAGCCGATATCGCGGATGAAGGTGGTCTCACCCTCAGTGCCGGTAAGCGCTTGCAGCAGGTTCAGCAACTGGTCGGCCAAACCATGGTTGTCTTTGCCCTTGCCTGCTTCCACGCAATTAGGGAATCAACAGATCGTTCATAATAATGATAATAATAAACAAATAATTAAAGTAGAAAGAAGTACGCACCCTTGCCGTCATCTCGCTGCTTGCCCTTCCTGTCGGCCTGGCCATTGCTTCCTGTGAACACAACATTAAAGTCAATATTCGCATTAGATGAGAAAAGAACGAAAAAGACGACAAAGAGAGAAGGGAAGATCGGAAAGAGAGAGAGAGAGGAGGGCACATCACCTGTTCCATGGAGAAGCGGCTCCACGTAGTACTGCTGCAGAAGGGTGTAGCCCACGGCAACGAGGTAGCTCTTCGCCCGCTGGAGGTAAGCTTGCCGCCGCGCTGCATTCACACCGCATGTCAGTCTTGCGCGCCGCCTTCTTAACAATAGCGATGATGAAAGAACGAAAGAACGAAAGAAAGAACGAACCTTGCTGGCCGGGCGGGACGGTGATGCGGAACAGGTGGGGCAGGACCTGGTCGTAGAGCTGAGCGAGGAGCGCGACGTCGAGGCCCTCCTTGAAGAGGGCGGCCGACTCGGGGTGGATGCGCAGGAAGGCGTAGAGGGTGGCGAGGATGTCCTGCAGGTAGTACTCGACGTCGCACAGCTGGTCCACCTGGTCTTCGTCGTCGAAGGTCCTTCCCTGCGGGCCGGCCTCCTTGATCAACTGCTGCAGCCGCCTCTCCACTTCCTGATTGGGGGGAAAGAATGCATGGAATGTGAGAGGCAAGACCGACGAAATTGATTGGAGATGACCAGAGGAAGACGGAGATGGCGACGCCTTCAATGGAAGCGTAATAGAAGAGGTACGTGCCTGCACGACGCGGGAGATGATGGGCACGGCCTGCTTGAGATCATCCTTGTACTTGGGCTGAAGATTGAGCAGCGACGACACCAATCGGTTCACCTCCTGCAAAGCCGAACGAAAACGAAAATTAGGAAATGAAAATGAAAACAGAGAAAGAAAGAATGAGAAAGGTACCTTGGCGTTGTAGGAGCCGTAGAGGGTGCAGATGTCGAAAATCTTGGGTACGTCAAAGATCCACTTGTCGTAGACCAGATCGGCAAAGTACCGCGCGTCCATGAAGTCCGTCGCCGACTCCCGGTTGGTCGACATGCGGAGCAACACTAAACCCAGGCACACACGGCACACGACACACACGACACGGCACGACACACACGACACAGAGAAGCACCACTCGTGTGTGAGAATTTCAAGTATGCAACTCTGTGGCAGGAAGAAGTATGTTACCCTTGAAGACCTTGACGAACACGGAGAAGTAGGTGGACTGGGGATCGAGGGCCGGGCTCGAGCTGTCGTCGCCGCCGTTGCCGTCGAACGCGCGGCGCGCGTAGCGGAGGAAGGAGTCGATGAGGCGCAGCAGGCGCGGGTCGAAGATGATGTGGCTCCAGAACACGTGGTACTTCTGGCGCAGAAGGCGCGACAGGTCGGCGTCGAGCACCTCAAGCACCGCCTGCGATCCGGCCAGTCGCTCCTCTGCCGATGCAATGACCCAATCTGAGTCAGTTTGACACGTCACGTCGCACACGCGCGCATGCACCACCGCACACGCACACTCACACGCACACGCGTTGGAAGGTACCGGTGAGGGAGAGGTTGTCCTGGGGCAGGAAGGGCGGCAGCTGGAGGGTGGGGTCGAGCCAGTGTGCGGAGAGGTCGGCCACCCGAGTGAGCTGGCCCGGCGTGGAGCCCTTCACGTAGCTGCTCGAGGTCTCCACGCTCACTCCCGACCCGCGCTTCTCGACATCTCGTCGCTGTATCTCCTCCTCCATCTGTCTCTCTTGATCCTGAAAGTGTAGCGTGTTCCGCGATGAGACTAAGATTTGTGTAGCAGAAAGCTCCAAGTGCAATGAAGCAACGGATTGAACAATTGGGGATCAATGTACGTGTTTGAGTTGTTGCTGCTGCTGTTCAATGTCGCGCTTGGTCAAGGATGGTGCAGTGCCGAAGCCAGGGGGCGGGCCGCCCCTCTTACGCTGCGCACCCTGCTGCGGCCGTCCGCCGCCCGTGCCTCTGCCGCGCTGATTGCCACCTCCACCCCTTTGACTCATCTTTCCAATTGCACGCGGATTGATTTGATTTTTTGCAAGCCAAATAAATAAATAGATAAATAAATCTTGCTTCACAAAAAGTAAAACGGGAAAAACGACAGATTTGCGGCATATCAGAAAAACAGTAATCAAAATCCAGCACAGTCAAGAGATGTCCGCCGAGGGAGGTATACTAATACACCTGCTCGACCTGGTTGAGTGGTGCTCTGTGCTATGGTAGCGTGTTAACAAGCTAATGTTCTGGAAATGTCACAGAGAAAATTACCAATGATGGAGGAGTGTTGAAGAAAATCCTTGCTGCTGGGTCTGGCAGCGTTCCACCGAAGCACTCAGTGGTACTAGGTACTGCGTTGACCCCTTCATCTTCAGATCTTATTAGAAATATTATTATTTTACTCGATTTCTGGTTAATCTTCTCGTGCATCGCCTCGACCTCTTCAATTGTGAAAAAACACATATTGGCAGGCCGAGTAGCTCGTACAAGTTGATTCGATTGGGCGCTCAAGTGATCGTATATTGTCTTCTTCCAACCATTAGTGACCTATGAGGGCAAGCTGGAATCGGGCGAGGTGTTCGATGCCAGCCAAGGCTACCCCTTCAAGTTCACCCTCGGCAAAGGTAACGCACGCGCCTTCGTCGGTGCAGCTGCGGCTGTGTCTTTTCGTTGCCCTAACCGCCTTCGCGTTGTGATGATCAGGCGAGGTTATTCAGGGCTGGGACAGGGCCTTCGCCACCATGAAGAAGGGCGAGAAGGCCATTCTCACCATCAAGGCCAAGTATGCCTACGGCAAGGAGGGTACGAGTCCCACCCCTGATGGGTCTACGCCTTGTCGTTGTTGTTTGTTGTTGTTTGCTGCTGGCAGCGCTAACGCTCAAGCGGCCCGCTCACAATGTTCAGGATCGCCGCCTGAGATTCCGCCCAACGCGACTCTCATCTTCGAGGTGGAGCTGGTGAGCTTCGAGCCGCCCAAGAAGGCCATCAACCCCGACTACGAACGCCTGCAAGCGCTCCGAAAGGCGCGCGAGGAGGATGCCTAAAGAGCTCGAGCACTGCCCATCCCGCACTACATTGCTGTCCACCTTCCGTCTGTCCACTTACCACCGTCAACTGCCGCCATCTTCGCCACCTTTACGCTGAAACCGTCAGCACAGCATCGTGAATGAACGTCCACGTTAGCACCTGTGTGTTGTGTGTGTGTCGTGCTGTGGTGCGGGTGTGAAGCGAACGCGCTTCGGCCTTACTTCTTCGAATTACACCGAAACCGTTTGCCAGGGCAGCGAAACAAGTTTGGCTCCTTTCCATTTGCTACTTGAATTGAAAAAAAGAGCACCAGCACATCAGCACACCATGGAACCTCTCTCGCTAGATCAACTCAAGGAAGAACTTGCCCGAATCTTTCCTGATGGTGCGTGCAGAGCCTCTAAATTCAAGCAATCTGTGCGCGAGGGGGGATAAAATTATTTAATTGGTTTGCCCAAATGCAAGTACGGCATCGAAGCTTGATTACCGATGCAAGCAGAATCTTGAAGTTTATTATTTTGTGAATTTAACGTCATGTGTGTGTTGTGCGAACAGAGGAGGCCAAGAAGGTGGAAGTGGACGAGGCCAACCTGAGCAAGGTTGCGTCCCTGGTGCTCAAGTCTGAGGACGATGCCGTGCTCGCCTCGCTCACCGAGGTAGTGGGCGACCTCGCCCGCATCGGTACTCCTCCTCCTCCTCCTCTCAACTTCTACGTAGCGTTTTGTTTGTTGTGTGTGGAGCTTGTTGTGGCTGACCCTGCCCACGCTTCTATGTAGACGAGAACCGTGAACGCCTGGGCGCCATCGAGGGCGTCCTCGAGCGTCTGGTCGCCATTCTCATTCGCGCTCAGGATGTCCCGCTGCAGAAGTGGACCGCGCGAGCTCTTGGCAACCTCTCCTACGAGCACGGTACAGTTTTTTGTTTTGATTTGTTTGTGCTGCTCGTGCCTCCGTGCGTGCGTGGGTTGCCGTCTGTCAGACAAATCGCGGCCTCACATAGCGTGTCTGTGCGGTGCGGTGCGTCTTCCATCATGAACAGAGGAGAGTATCGACAAGATCATTGCTGCCGGAGCGGTACCGCGGCTCATCGAGCTGATGGCCAGCGGTGACATGGAGGTCAAGCGCAACAGCACCGGCGCTCTGGCCAACATTTCCTCGGCCGACCGTACGTGTTCCTCCAATGACAACGTCGACGGACATCTTCTCTGATCAAAGAACTCAAACCCGAACCATCTTCCCTTCTTTGGCGCGCGATGCAGACGCCAAGGAGTTGGTCGTCGAGAAGGGCGCGCTGCCCGTCGTGTTCGACCTTCTGCGCAGCGACAACGAGACTGTCCAAATGATGGCCTACCGGGTCATCACGAACCTCGGCGACAACGGTTCGTTAGCATCGTCATCAGCTCAACGCGTTGAACTGAGTCGAATGACGAAGACTTATGTACTTACGTGCTGTGCGTGCCCCAGAAAACAACCGGGTGGAGATCGTCAAGGCCGGTGGGCTCAAGCTGCTCGTCGACTTTGTGCTCAAGAACGAGGACGAATCGACCACGGTCGAGGCGCTCAACGCCCTCTGCGTTCTGGTCGAGAACAGTACGCCTCCTTCCGGCTCGTCTTTTGCCGATGCACACTTCTTCATGTCAATGTCACTCAACCGCAACGCAACAGAGCAACACGCAATTGAGTTTGCGAAGGAGGGCGGACTTAAGGCTCTCGTGCCGCTCGTCGGCGATGACGAGTCCGAGACTGCCCAGGCGACCGCCGCCGATCTTCTCCACACCCTGGCCACCATTGGTATGATGTGGTACCACGTCGCACGATGTTGGTTCGCCAGCGAACGTTCCATTCATGCTTTTTTTCCCCTCTCCTGGCCAAATGGCAGACGAACTCAAGACGTGGTTCCTCGCCGAGGGCCTCATTGCGCCCCTGCTGAAGCTCGCCAAGTCGGACGAAGTCACCACCCGCAAGAAGAGCATCAAGATCATCGCCCAGCTTGTCCTCAACGGTACCGTCGAGCCCGCACTCCGTCAATCCATGTCGGTGTTGGTGTGCTCATCTCTGCTTTCACGCCTCCAAACAGACGAGGTGGCGAACAGCCTGTTCCAAGAAGCGGATCTACTGCTTGATTTGCTCAAGTCGGAGGACCCTGAAATTCAGCTGCACACCACCATGATCATCGGAAACATTGCTCGCTCTGGTTCGTGACCACACACGAGACACGACACGACACGACACAATGGTGGTAGAAATAACCTTGACGTCCCCTTAGATGAGAACTGCGTCAAGTTGGTGGATGCGGGCGCTGCCCAGTTGCTCGGCCAGCTGCTCCTCGTCAAGGACCCTCGTCTGCAGCAGCTCGCCGCCGGCGCCCTCCGCAACCTCGCCATTCCCGCCCAGAACAAGGTGCGTGTGTGCGCACACGTGTGCGAAGGTGCGTGTGCGGTCGCGAGTTTACTAACACGCTCTCTCTTGGTGTTTGTGCACAGGCCAAGGTGGCCGAGAGCGGTGTGTTCCCGGGCCTCATCGCGTGCCTCTCGTCGACCAACGCGCATGCCATGTTCGCCGCCATCGGCGCCATCAAGGCGCTGCTCGTCACGCCCGAGAACCGGCGAAAGTTCATCGCGCTCGAGGGCCTCGAGGCCATCATCAGGATCAAGGACGCCATCATCATCGACGCCACCCAGCAGGACGACCCCGACGCCGCGCGAAAGCCCAAGGACCAGCGCATCCAGTACGAGGCGGCCCGCACGCTGGCCGTGCTGACCGAGGAGGAGTCGGCCCGCGATGAGATCGTGCGGCTCGGGGGCGTCGGCCTGCTCCACTTCCTGCTCGACTCGTCGTTCGAGATCCTCCAGAACGAGGGCCTCAAGGCCCTGAGGCATCTGGTCAACCACAAGGAGGCGGAGAGCCGGCCCAAGCTCGTCGAGGACGGTCTGATCGATGTGGTGCTCAACGGGCTCACCAAGACCAAGAGCGACGACGTCGTGCTGGGTCTCGTCGCCCTTCTCTCCACCCTCGCCGACAACGGTACCTCCTCTCATCACGACACGCGACACGCGACACGCGGTGGTCGCTTACGCTGTTCCCACTGAGCAGACAAGTTCCGGGAGGAGTTGGTGGCCAAGAACGCGGACTCGGTGTTGGTCTCCCTCACGGCCTCGCCCGCCCAGACCGAGGCCAGCCAGACCCTCCGTGCCAAGATCGGCCCCACCTCCAACCCATGAACATCTTCATCGGGTCTCGAACGTGGTGCCTTCGTGTCTCAGCCATTCTTAACGTAGCGCGCCACGTAAGCTAAATGAAAGAATGTGTGGTATTCAATTTAACGGACCAATGCCGGGAAAGTGACACGTAGCGCTGCGTAGCTTAGGTCGACGGGAAATTCCTTGTTGGGCTCTTGGGACGTTTGCTTTGGTGCGGTGAGTTGTGTTTCGCCGGGCGCGTGACTTGTTCACCCCTGTTCCTCTCTCCTCCGTTAGATTCAACAAGACGCGCCTCAGCACACAAGCCACTCACACACACAACATGTTCAAGCGTGCTGCCACCAGGTACACTCCAACCCAAGATTTACCGTCAAGTTAGTTCGATTAAATTCATTTGTTTTCTTTAATCGCAACAAATCAATCCTTGAATTAGATTAATTCACGCTCTCCCATTTGCCTGTCGTATTCTCACTGGTGATCGATCGATCTCTAACCAAAAGGAAATTTAATGCAAGTGTATTAAATTTGGTAGATTTTAATTGATTAAGTGATTTGTTTTTTGACATGAACAGAACGACTTCCGGCTCGGTGTCGAGCGCTGCCGTGCAGCAGAGGCTGTTTGCGTCGTCGTCTTCGGCGCGCGCCGCTTCGTCCCTGTGGGCGCACCTCGACGTCGCGCCCCTCGACTCCAACCACGCCACCAACGCCGCCTTTGAGGCCGTACGCACACGCACCACACACACACACACACCGCACACGCACCACACACACACCACCGCACACGCACACGCGTGCGCCGCACACACTGATAGAGCAATGAAACACGACACGACACGACACGACACGACACACAGGACCAATCGCCGCTCAAGGTGAACCTGGGCCGTGGCGTGTACAAGGACGACAACGGCAAGAACTGGGTGCTGCCCTCGGTGCGCATGGCCGAGGAGAAGATCTTCGCCGAGAAGGCCGGCCACGACTACCTGCCCTTCAAGGGCTGGGACGTGTTCTGCAAGCGCACCTCCGAGTTCGCCTTCGGCGAGACCAACCCGCTGCTCAAGGACAAGCGCGTCGCCACCGTCCAGGCCATCTCCGGCACTGGTGCGCGTTGCATGCGTGGCATACCTCGCATTCCATTCTCCACTCACGCGTGTTGTGTGTGTGTGTGTGTGCGGTGTGCGTGTGCGTGTGCGTGTGCGTGTGCGGTGTGTGGGAATGTGAGGAATGCAGGAGCGCTGAGGGTGGGCGCCGAGTTTTTGTCGCGTTTCCTGCCGCCCACGCACAAGGGCGTGTCGGTGTACGTGGCCGACCCGACCTACGTGAACCACCTGCCCATCTTCAAGCTCAACGGCTTCGAGATCAAGCGCTACCGCTACTACGACCCCAACACCAACGGCCTCGACCTCAAGGGCTTCGTCGAAGATCTCCAGGTCTGCGCCCCAGCTCAGGACCCTGAAGCACCACCTCACATTCCTTCGTACTACTCGCATTCCTCTGACTCTGGTGGAATGTGTGCCTGTTTGGCATTCCTCTTCTTAAGAATGCGCCCGAGGGTTCGGTCATCCTGTTGCACGCGTGCGCGCACAACCCGACCGGCGTGGACCCGTCGTTCGAGCAGTGGAAGCTCGTCTCCGACGCCTGCAAGGAGAGGCGCCACGTCGTCTTCTTCGACTGCGCCTACCAGGTTCGCATGTCCACCTTTCTTCTTCGCTTTCGTTCTTTCTTGTCACTCATTTTCTATGTGTGCGGTGATGTGTGTGCGGTCGTGCGTGTGCGTGTGCGTCGACAGGGCTTTGCCAGCGGTGACATCGACAGGGATGGTGCGGCGTTCAGGTACTTTGCGCAGGAGGGCCACCAGGTGCTCGTGGCGCAGTCCTACGCCAAGAACATGGGCCTCTACGGCCAGCGTGTGGGCGCGCTCAACATCGTCACCTCGGACGCCAAGGAGACCGAAGCCGTCATGTCCCAGCTCAACCAGGTACGCACACGACCGCACGACACGACACGACACATGACACACACGACACACACGACACGACACGACACTCGCTTACACTGTGTGAACGTGGCACACGCCGCAGGTGATCCGCCCGATGTACAGCAACCCGCCGGCGTACGGTGCGCGCATCGTGGGCACGATCCTGTCGGACCCCACCCTGCGAGCGCAGTGGCAGAAGGACGTCAAGACCATGGCCGACCGCATCATCGGCTCCAGGCAGGCCCTGGTCGACAACCTCGAGGGTCTGGGCTCCAAGAAGTCGTGGAAGCACATCACCAACCAGATCGGCATGTTCGCCTACTCGGGTCTCACTCCTCCTCAGGTTCGTCCGCACACACGCGCGCTCCGTCGTGTGTTGCACTGTCTTCGTGGCACTCACGTTCGTTATCGCACACACCGCACACACCGCGCACGCAACGCCACAGGTCCAGACGCTGCGTACGCTGCACGTGTACATGAACCTGGACGGCCGCATGTCGGTGTCGGGCGTCAACTCGCACAACGTCGAATATCTCGCCCAGGCCATGCACAAGGCCACCTCTCAGTAAGGGAAGTGGTGCAGTTACGACACACACAGTCACACAGTCTGATGATTTTGGGGAGCCAACACAACACAACAAACAAAACGTGCACTCATCGCGATGAGCATGCTTCCACACTTGTTTGATGTGAACCCTTCGTTCAATCTTGTTTTTTATACACACACATCCTGCCTCTCTCCTGTAAATCCTGATCTTGCCTCAACCGCTCCTCTAGGGCAGGTCGGAGAGGTTCTTGGGAGGGGGTGGGTCTGGTGGGCGAGTAGAGAGGCGAAAAACGTGTTAACGGGAGAAAAAAAGGGGGTAGCGCGTAGCGGGCTGGGGGGGAGTACTGGGTCTGAAGCCGCCGCCGACCTGCTTGGCGTAGTTGGGGGACGAGTGAGCGCCCACATTGTTCGGCGTCCACTCCCTCTGGCCCACCGGCTTCACCTCACCCTTGGACGGGTCCTGCACGAACAAAAGAAATAAAAATAAATAAATTAATGAAAATAAAAAGAGAGAAGGAAAAAAGGATGAGTGTGTTGAAGTGCAGAAGAGGTGAACCTTGGGGGTAGCCTCCTTGATCTTCTGCTCGAAAAAACTCTTCTTGTCCGCCATGTCTTCTTGTGTTGTTGTGTTGTTGTGGCACAAGAAGGAAATGACCGCCACGCTCCTGACATTTTAATAGGCCAACCAAAATGAAGCAAAAAAAATCAAGAGAAAAGAAAATCAGGCCTGCGGGCCGCCTGTGGCCGGGGCGGCGCTGGCGAGGCTGACCGCTTCAGCCGCTGCCGCGGACACCACCGCCGGTGTTATGGTCGTCGCAGGAGCCGTGTCACGGACATCGACGTAGTTGCTCGCAGCCTGGAGCTCCGCCACCATCTGGTCGATGACCCTGGAGCGCAGTCAGCCACAACCGCACACACCGCACACGGGGGGGGGGGGCGAGTACTCGAACTGGGTGGTCCATTTGGAGTTGTAGAGGAATTGGCGGAGGTCGAAGCGGTTGTCCTCGGGCGAGTAGGCCTCGGCGTGGTAGGACGGGGTGAGGACGGTCATCTTGTGCCGGTTGATGGAGTAGTAGAAGAAGAAGCGCTTGACCTTCTCGGCCACCTGGGCCGGCGTGAGGTGGTCCCACTCGTGCACCAGCTTGTGGAACATCGACACGGGACCGCACAGCCCGATCTTCCTCAGGCGTCCGAAGTGGCTCAACTCCGCGTACGTCATCCCCATGTCCTCTGCACACAGACATACAATTTTAACTCCTATTAATAGAACGCGAACGCGAATGCGGAGGTACCCTCGTCGGTCTGGGTGTAGTTGGAGGTGATGGGCTCCAGTTCGGCGGTGGGCGCCGCATGGACGACGTCGAGGAGCGCAGTGTAGCCCAGCGTCTTTTCATCGGCTGCCCACTCCAAGAATCCTCGCAGATCGATCTTCGAGAACGAACCAATCGGGTTGACGTCCGCCGAACTGAACCCACAACTCATGAGCACGGCACACAACACGGCACACGACAGCAGCACACGCACACGCACACGCACACGCACGACCGCACACGCACACGTGATGGCAAGGTAGGGAAGCACATGCCTGCAATCGTATTTGGTCATGTAGCCGCGGAGCGCTTCGTCGACGTTGGCGGCGCCGAGCACGAGGAGGCTGCCCTCTCGCCCGGTGGCCCACATCAACAGCTGGCTCAGCAGATACCCGTACACCATGCGCGATCGCGCCTGAATGTTTTGCAGCGCCACTGGGACACAAGCGCGGCACAATGAGTGTGTCGTACGTCGGTGTGTGTGTGTTTGTGTGCGTGCGTTCGCGCTCAGAGCAAGAGGGGGGATGTGCGTACGATTCTCGGTGGTGGAACCTCCGTGGACCTTGAACTGAGGCTTCTTGTCAGACACCTGCGCAAAGGCCTGCATGAACGCCGACACAATCGGGTCGATGGTGCTGTTGACGTGGTGCGCGCCAACCTATAGAAGAAGAACCAGGCGCACGTATGTCAGTTAACACGCAACACACGACACAAGACACATTACACAACACGCAACACATGACACGATACTGCTTCGCATTATGCACGTATTTACCTGCTTCGCGAGCTTCTCGGCGCGTTCGCGGGTCTCCTTGGATGAGTTGGTGGTGCCCATGTAGCACGTGAAGAAGAGCTTGCCGGCCAGGTCCTGCGCGGACGACGGGGTGTAGTCGGGCATGCGCGTAATCCTCCGCACGTCGCGCAGCACCTGCTCGTTGCCCTTGCTCAGCTCCAGAAGCACCAGCTGGCACATGCTGCCCACAATCGCGGCCACTGCCGAACTGTCGGCGCCGCCGCTCAGCGGAAGGAAGTAACCGCTCACCCCTGTATTTTTACACGCACAGTGAGCAACACATTAAAGAAGAGAAGGCGCAAAAGAACGAAAGAGAAAGAAAGAGGCGAGAGGGGGGACGGCAAACCGGAACGGCGGAGGTAGTCCCACAGCCAGGAGGCGGGGCCGTAAGCGATCTCCTCGTACACGGAGAGGTATCTGGCTGCACCAGGCGCCGACACAAACGCAAGCAAGTCAGCGAGGTTGTTGATAGAATCGAACGTGTGTCGTGTGATGTCGTGTGTTAAGTCGGCCCGGACAGAGCGTACGTGCGACGGATTTGGAGGGCCTGGGTCCGGTTGTGGTCGATAGCGACCAATCGACAAAGACCGAGGGGACCTTGGGCGCCGATGCAGCCTGCGAGCTCCGACTGGCGATCGCCATGCGATAGGCGCGCACGTCGTCCTAATGATGAGCACAGAGCGTAAGGCGAGTGACGAGCCCCTCCCCCCACCCCACAAAGGGTGTCGTCGAAATGGACGTACGAGGTTGACGGTGGCGGTGATGACTTCGACGTCCTTCAGCGAGAATTGGGAAGCCTGGCCCAGGAGTTCGCCGTTCATGAAGATCATGCTGCTGCCGTCGTAGTACATCCGCCCTCCGTCACAGCCCTGCCCCCCCGACAACCGGTGTGAGCGAGAAAAGCAAAAGCAAAAGCAAAAGCAACGGCGGCGATAGAAGGCTGTTGAGTAGAGGTAGTGGAACCTGCTGGTTGGAGTAGAGGTAGAGACCGCCATTCTTGCGGGTGGCGTTGTGGATTAGGTCCACGCGCTGGTTGAGCTTACGCAGCTGGTGATGAGAGCCTTGCAAGACAAGAGGCCACACGCAACGCGACACAACACGCATCACCGCACACGCACGACACACATTCAGAAACACGTTCCGTGAGTTGAGGCTGGCCCAATGGGTGTGCAAGGCGCGGCTTACCCGAGCCATTGCCGAAGATCTCTACGCCAGCGAGGCCGAGGTAGATGTTGGGCGAGTCGGGCGTGAAGAGCTCTTCGCACGTCTCGACACCGATGGCTGTGTCCTGCGTCTGCAGGTAGCAGTCGCCGAACGGCACCGTCGTTTGGCCTGCGCGCGGTCCGTCGCCGAGAGTCGGAAGAGTGAGTCAGCGTGGCACCACACACGTGTGCGCACGCACCGCACGCGTGGTGGCACGAGACGAGCACGACGCACCCGTGATGACGCGGATGCACTGGGGCAGGAGGAAGTCCTCGACCGTGCGCTTGTGCTTCCACTGCGAGAACCAACGCTCCTCGCGGTAGTTGCCATCGCTGGCCAAGAACTGCTTCGGACGGATCAGCAGCACCTTCCCGTTGAGCACGAACACACGGCAGTTGTACCGCACATCCCTGGATAGATGGATCAATCGGCGTAGTAGAAGGCAGGCGATTAAGGATCCAATAAATGGGGTGGGATTCGTGTAGCGAAAGATTGAGAAAGAAAAAGGGTGTCTACCGATGCATGACGGGCATGCCGAAGTCGCAGAGCATGTCCTGGGTGAGCCCGACGAGCTCGGGCGAAAGGATGGCGGCAAGCGATTGCCAGGAGTGAAGGAAGGTGTCCTGCTCGAGGAAGTGGTCCTCGCATCCATAGCCAGGGACCTCGAGCTCAGGGCCGAGCCTGTACCTCGCACCCGCCGCTCGTGCAGCGCGTAGCGAGCTCACGATGCGCTCCAGGTTGCCCGAAAAATCCATGGCCCATTGGTCGAGGTTGCATGTCGCAACAGTTGCCAGTGCAGGCTGCATCTTTCGTGTTGGTGTTGTGGGCAAGTTTACTTTCTCAATTCAACATGTCTTTTTTTAGTATTATTTATATTTTTTACCCCAGCTCGAAATCGGCCCAAAAAACCAAATGGGGCAAACGGAGCGGACTGCATGAACCACAAATCGATCCTGCAGTCACGCGTTAATCGACTCATTCTCAGCGAATCGGCCGTGCAGCAACCCTGATCTTCTCTTGATAATGCACTGAATCGAAATCACACCCGCGTCGACGTTTTCGCGCCAAAAGGTTTTTCTGTTACGTTATCGTCGACACTAATTACCGGCCTCGCAATTTGGAAGATGCCGGGCTCCGATTGGGGGCGGTAGTCGTACACGGCTATTGGGTCTCCCGCACGCGGTACCGCTGCTGACAACAGGCACGAAGCAGAGGCGAGAGGCAACACTTGAGTCGATTCGGCGAATCTCGAGAGACAAATTCGTCCTGATTTACTTCACAGGCCCTTCTCCACATTTTTGTTGCTGCCATCCATCTCGCCCCCCAATCGAGGAAGAGAGCCATTCTTTGTAGATAAAGAACGAATCGAGCCCGAGCGTGAAGAACACGACTTTCCATTACCGCAATGTCGGTACTTACATCGTCTTCCTGCCCCGCGCCTGCCATGGAACATTACTAAATTGAGGCGAATTAACAGGACAAAGAAGCGCTGTTGGAATGGCTGGGCAACGTCAAATGGGAAACCTGTACGTATCCATTCAATTGTCTCTTGGTTTCTTTGTACGGACCCAGGTGACCCATTATCTTGCTACGCAATCCAGACCTTGACGATGAAGAAGTGAAGGAGAAGGTCACTGAGTTGAAGGACAAAATCGAAGGCCTTGGTGAGCAAGTGGTATGTCCGCCCTTTCATTTTCGTCATTTCAAGAGGTGCTCATGCATTTCCCGCCTCTTCCTTAAACAGAACATTGCTGGGGCTACTCGCATCAAGCTTGTAGTCGGTACTTTGCCCTCCATTTTTGATTTATTGTAATGCCGGCAAGGCGATCTAAACTATGCTCTTCAATGTCGCAATGACTAGTCGGTGATGGCGCTGTCGGTAAGACTTCTCTTCTCATCTCGTACGCCACGAAGAAGTTCCCCACGGACTACGTGCCGACCGTGTTCGAGAACTACACCGCCCAAATGAAGAGCGACAATGAGAACATCCTTCTCCATCTTTGGGATACTGCCGGCCAGGAGGACTACGACAGGCTCAGGCCTCTCAGGTACGAAGCCCCCCCCCATATCCGCTCCGCTCATTTCTTCTACTTAATCAGCTCATTAATCATTGTTCCTTCATTTTTGTCTCATTCTCGCTCTTTGATCTCCAAAGTTACCCTGGTGCCGACGTGGTTTTGCTGTGCTTCTCCACCGTCAACCGAGCCTCCTATGATGCGATCAGGGAGAAGGTAAAACGGCCCTCATCAACCACTGCACTTCATCTCTCTCTCTCTCTCTCCTCGTCTGCCTGGGCACGCATCCTCTAATGCATCCTCTCTTCTCCACCTTGCAGTGGTACCCAGAGGTGAACCACTACGTGCCCAACATCCCCCATCTTTTGGTGGGCACCAAGGTAGATCTTCGAGACAGCGAGACTGCCGACCCACACACCACACAATACGAACCCATCACCTCCGAAGAGGTAAACTCCCACCCTCCACCTTTACCTTCTACGCTTCCTTTCTACGCTTGCGGGTCGGTACAAATGCTGATGATGAATGGTTGCTGTCCTCTTCTTCTTCTATCGTCCAGGGCAAGGAGATGGCGAAGAGCATCAGCGCGGCGAGCTATCTCGAGGTGTCGGCCAAGACGAGGAAGGGGCTGGACAAGGTGTTCAGCGTCGCGGTGCACTGCGTGCAGCAGGCCAGGGGCGTCACCCCGGCCGCTGACGGCGCCGCCTCGGGGGCCGACGTCGCTCCCGTGGTCGTCAAGAAGAAGAACAAGAGCAAGGGCTGTTTCCTCATGTAAATTTCTATGCTACCGCATCTCGACACACTCCTGTCACCAACCCACCGCCACTCTCGCGCCTCCTTTCCCTTTCCTTCTCTTCCTCTACTCGTCTTCGTCTTCTACGCGCCAAAAAAGAAATATTATTTATGAGACCGCAACGGGCCACAGAGGGGCGAAGGGGGGTCGCGTGCTGCGCGAGGCTCTGCTCTCATCTTCGTTTGTTCACCAGAGCCTGAAGAAGGTGGTGACTGTGGGGTGGGCGACCAAGACAGCCTGCAGGAAGGCCTGCAAGTCGCGGTGGCTGATCAGGCCCACGTTGGCCTCGCCGAAGAGGTACGTCACCAGCGCATTGAGTAGCCCGGGGTCCTGGGAAAGCGGAGTACCAGCGTGCTGCACGTAAAGTGGCGGCCGATCGGCGTTCGCGTCAGCAGAGCGGAGAGGGCTGTGATGGTCCGAGAGTGCGTACCTGATAGGAAAACCAGTTCTCGCCACGAAAGTCGTCACCTTCAATCCCTGTGCCCCCCACATCACGGGAGACCTTTCAATCCCTGAAGTGCAAAGTGCGCACACGAAACACACACACACACACACACCACACACCACACCACACCACACCACACCACACACACCACACCACACACACAACGCACACGACCACAACCACACATTGAATGGTGGGTGCGTGTACTTTCCCATTTTAGGCCGCATGATAGAAACCCAGACCCATCGACCTCGTGGGTGAAGTTAATGTGAAGAGGCAGGCCTGTGGTGAGACTATAGATCAACACCGACACTTGGTGGAAACACTCTTCCGTGTCACTCCTGCTTGATAAGATGGTAAGAGTACAACATGCACGTTAACGTCATGCGCGACATGTTGTATGTCGTGTGACTACGCACCCGACGTCAACGTTGATGTGGGAGTAGAGCGCGTGGTCGCAAAGAAGCGAGAACAAGTGATGGGCATTCTCCCGGGCCTCCGCACCCTTGCCAACGCTCGCTTGCCGTCTGCCACCACGTGATACGTCCAGGGGGATATCAATCAGAGAAGCGGAAAAGCAAAAGTTACCACAGGCCTCTACAGCCACCGCCATCGCCATCGCCATCGCCATCAACACGCGCACCTGCACGTCTCGGCCAAAGTCTCGAGAAAGAATCGGGTCTCTTGCCGCATGTATGACACATGGTCTAGCGGTTTCAAAATCTCCTCCACGCGCTCTGCCGCGTTCCGCACCGCAGCGATCCGCTCCTGGTCGAGGAGCCTCGCGAAAGCTCGTGGGCGCGCGGTGTCGCCAGAGTCGTTCGTCTTCTTCTTTGTGTCCGCCACCGCCACACTTTCCTCGCCCATCACCACTTTCGCTTTCTTTTGGTTTGGCTTGTTGCGGTCCAGTTCTGGAGCTGCTCTCTTCTTGGTCACCGCCGGCGTTGTTCTCTTCTCCCAGTGCTCTTCTTCGTCTTCGTCTTCCTCTTCACCGTCCGTTCTTTTGTCGAATAGCTTCTTCGTGAAAGCTTGTTCGTCGTCCTCTGCCTCGGGTGACGGTTCAGAAGTGTTCCTCTTCTCCTTTTCTTGGTCTTCTTCTTCTTCACCATCGGAGTCTTCAACAAAGAGCCGGTGCTCTGCGACGTTCAGCGCTGAGCGCAGGGCCTCCACCACCTGGGCCACCCCCAGCTCTGGCTCAACTGATCACGCACGCGGTGGCCAGAGAAAGTGAAGTCGAACTCAACATCTAAAGAGCGAAGCGAAGTGCGATACAGGGGAAGGAGGGGGGGGGGGAGTACAGCGTCGCTCGAGCTGGAGGCGGCGCACACACAGCGACTTCCAGGCGATGTTGTCGTTGTTCCTGATCGTCTTGCCCGCCGTTGGCCTCGCTGTGGCCGAAGATGAAGTGGTGGGCGCCGGTGCAGGCGGGCGAGCGCTAACACAGGGCCGCAGGTGGAAGAGGGGAGGGGGCCAGGTGCGGAGGAAGGCGAGGCGCCACAAGCTCGACTGGCGGCAAAGCTGCCTCCACTGCTGGCACACCAGCGGCACGGAACCGGCAAGGTCGCGGGCATGCACCCAGCCCAGCACTTCCACCACCATCTCCGCCGGCAGTCCCTCCATCTTTTCTTTCTGCAAACTCTGTTTTCTGTTCTGATCATCAAAGAAAAGGTGGAGGGTAAGAATAATCTTTATGAACAACACAAGAGGGCTCTCTCTTCGTGAGCGCTGCAAGGGGTATTGTGGCTTCTCCCCTCTCTTTCCGGAAGACGCTAGTGCGGTTGAGTGACACTCGCTTACTCGGAGCACCGGAAGAAGTCGTCGCCGGCGGTGTAGAGGTGCCCCTCGGCCGTGAGCCACTCGATGGCCTCCCTGAGCTCCTCCTCGGAGAACGAAGTCTGCAGGACCTCGATCACCTCGCCCAGCGCGCAACCGGCCCCGCTCTGCCTGCCCGACGTTCTGATGATCTCCAGCACCGCCTTCTGGCAGGGCGAGAACTGACCGCCAGCACGACCGGCAGGAGCAGCCTGACGCCCGTAGCCGCCGCCGCCGCCGCCGCCGCCGCCACGCTGCGCGCCACCGTAACCTGAGGTGCCACGACCGCCACTGGCCGCCGAAGAGGAATCGGTGGCGTCCTGTAGTTGGCCCAGTGGTCAGATGTGCCCCCAATTACTGCGCGTTTGAGCTCAAGAAAAGAGAAGGAGGAGGAGAGCTGCGCACCAGTTCGCCCTT